TTACCTTACCGTTAATATGTGCTTGCCGTGTTTTTTGCATGTACTGAGAGTTTATTTTAGAATGGCGTCTCGCATTTTTTTTCCCATAATAGTAACAGTGACCACAAAGGGAGGCAAAGAACTTGTGAATAAAACTTTGCAAAATTCGATTCATCTTTTCCTAACACACTGGTCCACAGCCAATTATTGGGAAAAAACTTTGTAGTATTTGAATCAGTGATGGCATGGATAAGTCTTATGAACAGTTATAAAGTACTTTATATTTAGTAAACACACAAAAATTTTCAAAAACGGTACCCGAAAAACTGCACGAGGTTTTACCGCAAGCATTTTTTTGCCACTTCTGAGTTCGCTTCCGCTGCGGCAAGCAGATATTCGCCTCTCCACTTCTTTTATAACTTTCGAATCCATAAAAATGCCACTCGCCGGTTCCAGAGAATCTTTCGGAGCGGTCGAGCGCAAAAACTGCCTCAGTTCTAAGAGAAATTAAGTTAGATTCTCAAAAAAAAGTACTGATTTTCTTATGTGCATATGTTCGTGGATAAGTAGTAGCGCGTATAACACTGGACCACAAAAAAGTAAAAGAGCTGGGGAACTGAAACGCTGACCCTCGACAAAATTCATGATGTTAATTCACTCATCGCCACCAAACTGACTAGTGTCAAGCATGTGCCCCACTTGCTCTGACTGTCCACGTAAAATTTTTTAATCTTCACAAAATCAAGATGAAAATTTAATGAGCGAGGGCGTTGAAGGCGACCGCCGCGTACACAAAAACCTTTAGAGCTGCCTGTGGTTACAGTACAATCATACATCGATACTGCACATCATTCAACTAGTAATTCGGGATTGTGGCACAGGCCAACACCAAAATCGCCCAGGCTTCCTAATTTACACGGAAATTTCAAATCATCCATGCTCTAAATGGTATTTCATGAACTTCTAGCAGCACCGTTTAAATATCAGTGGTATCGCATATCGTTTAAATATCAAGGGACTAAATCACTGGCACTTCGCGACTGAACTGCAAGGAGAGCTCGAAAAATAAACAAGATGCTATAACAGCATATCGCACAAAAGTAAGGAAGTAGGCCTCTCACCGCCTTGACTATTTAGGTGACGCAAGGTCAGTGGCCAAGGTGCAAAGAGACGGTGTCAACTTGGAAGAACATGACAAATACGTCTGCGATGGCTGGGAAGTAGATATGAGCAATGGTACAGACTACAATAAAGGAGCGGCTGTTATCTCAGTGTCCATAGTATAGCTATCTTCAAACTGCTTAAAAGGAAGAAATATGCCCAATATGTTAGCACCACTGTGCCTACATTAGCGACATGCAGTATGGTCACTGGACTGCGATAAAGAAAAGCAGAGGCGAAAAGAATTTTTGAGGTTTTGTTCGTGACGTGACCGCAGAAGCAGTCAGACTCTATCAGATAAGAGGCGTGTCAATGCAAGAACCCCGGAAAGTAAAAATCCATGAATAGGGCGCACTGATCGTCTTAATGACATACAGCAAAAGTCGCACAACGCTGGCGGTAGCTGCGAAAAAGACGGCTTACAATCGTCGTACACGCGCTGGATTGCAACTGGAGGTAGAGAGTTTACGGCCAGAACTACGCACGAGTTAGAACCTGAAGTTCACAGATCAGGACGCAGAGACGCCCGGACTACGGAAAGATTCTAGCTCACACCAACTGTCCTTGACAATATGTAGCAGTTGCAGTGACAGTATACAGTGTAATTATAAACAATATAACATTTTTGAAAAGTTTTATGCCTTGTGCTGCACCACGCATTATTAAAGTTAGGTTAATTAATAAAAAAATCGACAAAGCTTCCTCAAACTGTTCTAGCTAGTAAACAGTCAAAGCTAGATCTCTCCCAATGAAGACAAAATGGTTATATGCGTTGACAGCTAACCAAAACAAAACACGAAAAAGTGAAATTTTCTTTGCAAGGTTTTGACGGTGACGGACAAAACCTTGCAAAGAAAATTTCACTTTGAGATGATATGTATGTTCGCTTACTTCAAGTTATGTGTACGTTTTCACATACTGACATGTTCTCCTTAATCACTTTTACAAAAACTTAACTGACAAGGCACAAAGCGATCCATGGACTAATTGGGTCTTGTACCGAAAAACAGGAAATGAGAAAGTGAATAAAAAAGGGAGAGAAAGGAACTGAACAACGTCCCATCCAAGGCAACAAGCGAAACAATAACAAGAAATACGGACTTAAATACCAACAACGAACCTTCAAATCTCGCTCCTTGTTGTGCTTCATTAAGATTAGGAAA